TTCTCTGAGTGGAAGCTGTCTGGCTTTCCACGTCTTGGGCATTGGCTGACTTTGATGGCTTCGGTGTACAGCAACCTTACTGTGACGGACATCGAGAAGCGCTTGAAGGTGAGCTCGAGCAGCAATGTCGACGTCTCTCGCTTGCCTTGCCTGCATCTCAGGCTGATCTGAGTACCTCTCCGCCCACCTCGCTCATTCTAGCTCATGGCGAATTTATCAAAGGAGGCTTTTTCAGGAGAGCTGCCTTCGCCACCATCATCGCCGCGTCTTCAGGCTCGTAACAACACACAGGACAAGGCGAGAGCTAGCGGTCGGGCTACCGCTGGCACGGAAGAGGCGGATGCTACCGAGAGCGCCACAAGCAAGAAGCGCAAGGTCAGCACGCGAGCAGATGATGTTGGAGCGCAGACAAAGGAGAGGAGGCTCTCAGATTCTTCAGATGGGACTATCTCGCGATCGAAGTGAGTTGGACATGCAGCGTCACGATGTAGTCGCCTTGACGGACACTTGTTTATCTTCGGTACCTCCTGTGCCCATTAGACGAGAAGATAAAAACCAGAGCAAAGACACAAAAAGGGTCGACGTACGGTCGCTTCATTGTAGCCTCGAAATCACCCTTCCGCTCGATCGTCGATGGGACAAGGACCTCTTCGTATCGACAGCTGCGTCGTGAGTTGCTGCAAAGCCCACGCAGGTTATATTCGGTGGCTCGCGACTCCGTGAAGCTGACCATCGTTCTTCGGCCTCCTAGCTTTCGCGCGCGCGGCAGATCATTGAAGCATCAGGGAGACCAAAGACTACGGGAAGAGTCCACGATGCGCATCGGGAGCAGCCCTTCGAGCGCCGCTTGCATCGCGACATTTGAGCAGATGGACGCCGTCTTGCTGTACGTATACAGCTTTTGGTGCGAGGACGAAGCAGCGGCTATCGACACCGGCACCCCAGGCGTTATCATCGCCGCAAACTGGAACACGATCTTTGGTCTTCTGAAGTACGTTTGCGATTGCCAGGAACGCAACGGGTTCCCCGCCCTTGCAGGACTTTGGTGAGTGCTCTCGCGTAGTGCATCTGCTGCCTCACTGTGCGCTGGTCGTTGACACAGCGCGTACATAGTCGTCTTATTGAGGCACTGGTTCTGCGGAAGGTCAGCGACAACGAGAATCGTCTGCTTCAGCGTCGCCTCGCCAAGCTGGTGGCATCGTCTGCTGCAATAGCAAATACTGGCTCAACCTACGTCGCGGCAGGACAAAGTCCATCTACTCCATTCGGTGACACAGCAGCGCCATCACCGGCCTCTCATCATTCCGCAGAAGTCCCGCCCGGAGATTTGTCGTCCGCAATTGCCGATATCTCTAGTATTATGCGCAAGACGGTCGGCGAGTCGGAACGGAGTGCGAGGCTCTTTGCCCAAGCTAGGAATGCGCTGTCACCGTCCACCTTGCAGGATTCCTTCCCAGACGTCTGGCAAACTTGCCTGGCTTGCTCGACCGTCGTCGAGCCCGTAAGAGACGCTCTGCGCTTGAATCCGGAAGGATTTGGCTCGTCGAGCTGCGTCACGGACGATGCCCCTAGTGCTCGATGGGCGTGGCCACTGGACCACGTCACCCCTCTCCCACATTACGTCAACTTCGGTCGCGCCCTACTCCGTGAAGCGGCAGCCCGGAAGAATCTCAAATTCCAGCTAGCTGCGATCACTTCCCATCGATCTTGATGCCTTGCATGCTGCACAACGACACGCTTGATGTGTCTCAAGCACATTGCAATCTGAGGACAGCACAATCGGCTCTCAGCACCTCTGAAATCTGCCCTTGCAAAGCTGCCATTATGCTTTCCTGGCTTCTCGAGCACACCACGATCAAGGAGGTTCATCCCCGAGTTCTTGAATTATATCCAGCACGTTCGACTCGTCTTTATC